AGGAGACCTGCCATGAGGCGCCCTTGCAAGTGTGACAGATGAGACAACACCGTCAGAGCCAACCTCAACCAAGCTTGCAAGGGAGGTGCGTCCGCCCCTGAGTCCTTAGGTAGGGCCAGAAAGGTCCCACCGAGGAGCCAGAAGAGATGCAAGATCACGCCAAAAGAGTGGTGGCACATCTCCTCAGGTTTCTAAAGCTATCAGCAATTTAGCTGGGTTAGGCGCGGGAGAACCGTGAGAACTCTGGGGGCACGGGTGGAGCTGCCAGCGAGAAGGGCTCCGACCCGTCCTGGGCGAAGGAAGAGTATGTGCCAGGACCATAAATCCGAGGGGATTAATGGGTGGGCACTTTACCCGTCCTCTGGCAGGTCTGAATTTTGCCGATCCTCGGATCAGGTCATTCAGCTCCGTCCACACCTCATCCAGGTCCCTAGAGAAGAGTAGGGAGAGGGAGGACGTAGGCGCACGCATTCACCGACTCACCTGCGGGGGAGTCAGGAAAGGCATGGCCTCCTGCCATGGGGGTCCAAGTTCCCAAAGGATTTGCTGTCCGGTCGCAACAACCGGAGGAAATCCTTCAGGGAGAGGATGGACTCGATGAAGGAATAATCCCCCACTGCACTCCCCTCTCCCACTTCCGAGGAAGTGGATGTACCCCAACTGCCCTGGACGGTAGAGGAGGGTCCCACCCTAGGGTGAGACTCCTCCTCGTACAGGATGCTCGAGTTCACGGACGAGGACTCATCTGGGTGCGAGTCTACGTCCATAGGACGATGCCCGTCCCCTTGGGACGATTCTAATGGGACTATCGGGGCCTGCAAGGTCGCAGCACCCATGTCCCTTGGAACTGAGAGGGCCTGGGGGGAAGCTTCCGGTGGTGGCTACCCCACTAGACACGTTCTGCTGTCCCCCTTGAGTAGGGGGACCATGTAGAGAGGACAGGACCTGCTCCAGAAGTAAAGTTTGCCTCTGGATGGCCTGCCACATCTCTGCAGGAGCTTTATTGTACTCGTTGTGATGAGTATTGAAGGACGTTTGTTGAGTGTTCATCTGATATTATTGTAGCCAAGTTTGATGAATATTGTGGTAGGAATAACTCATGACCGCTGCAATTTGCTTAATAAACAGGAATGAAAGACATTTGTTGAGTGATCAACTGGTATTATTGTACTCAGTTTGGTGAGTATTGTCAGATATATAATTTGTTGAGTGTTCACCTGATATTATACTACAATTTATATTGTGACGTTATCCATTATTTAATAGATAGCATTCATTTACACACAAAACGCAACTATTTGTTTCCATCCAACCACAATATATTTGGATAACATTATTGCTCCTGAATTTCAAGAAACAGGAAGACAATATCCACGTTACGGCAACACCGCCAATACCTATACCTGCAGTTGTAGGAAATACACAGAATGGTATACGGACGTGTCATACTGATTTTAGGTCTCTACGTTGGGAATCGAAACTCCGTGACCTTGGAGTGGGAGAGGGACGTTTAAACGTTTAAAGATATTCGAAGCTCTGTTAGCGCTAAGATAGTCGTATGTTAATGTTAATGTATGGCCCTTATATTATCTTAGCGCTAAGAGAGCTTCGAAAATCTAGGCCCAGCGCTATATAAATCCAAAGTTATTTGATATATTTGAAATATGGTTTTATATTTACTTGTATATAAGCGTATAGCGATTCTTGTGATTCTTTATCTGGGTGTGGGTCAGATTAATGGTCTACACAATGCTCTGGACTCTCGGGAATTGTCTTCATTATATCACGTTCTACAATGGCAACCCAAATGTATATGAAGGAGTGAATGAATGTGGTTTCACGCCGTTTTAGGAATATTCCAGCAATATCACAGCGGGTTAAACCAGAAATTGGATTCACATAGTGCGTGGATTTAGGTCTTCGGCAGATAAGGATATAGATATTATGAAAAATGACTGGGGCTTAAACGGTATTATTGCCCCTCTTAAAACTATTTCAAAAGGTGTAGCAATTCTTTTTTTAATCCTTTCGGGATTCGAACCCACACCCTCAGAGTCAGAGGGGTACACAAAGATTACTAGTTGTCTGACTTCAATTTTTGTGGAAGCAGCGTTGGCTGAGCGGTCTAGGCGTCTGACTTAGTCTGCTGGCGATTAGATGCGTGACTCTGAGGGTGTGGGTTTGAATCCCGGAGGGGACTCAACCCAACAAAAGTACTAGAATCTGTACTTTACTAAGAAAGTGTAATCCCAAATATAACATATGTTACATTTGACCACTTTCTAAATGGTGTTGTGTATTTCATCGCTTTCGGCCGTGGGAGCCGTGCCAATTAACACTTATCAGAGGAGTACACAAAGTCCGCAGTCTAGACAACCAGTTGTCCGACTTCCATTTTTGTGGAAGCCGCGGTGGCTGAGCGGTCTAGGCGTCTGACTTAGTCTGCTGGCGATTAGGTCCCTGACTCTGATGGTGTGGGTTCGAATCCCGGAGGGGACTCAACCCAACAAAAGTACTAGAATCTGTACTTTACTAAGAAAGTGTAATCCCAAATATAACATATGTTACATTTGACCACTTTCTAAATGGTATTGTGTATTTCACAAGCAGCAAGCTAGAATCGATGTTTTCCTAGTCTCTCAGGATCTGTTCAATGTGTCTTATTTAAAGTGATATTGCCCCAGGTGATAAGCCAGACCGTTCCCCAATTATACTATCAGTTTCAAATAAATTACGTATTGAAAGAGGCCGTGGTTATTGGAAATTCAATACCTCACTCTTACACAACGAAGAATACATACAACAATGTCAGATATACATCACATGATTGTCTGCACGAATATGGAACAAATATGGACAAAGAATATGGATTCAACACCCTTATAAAGATGGAACGCAGGAATTGAAAATATCTGAATCTTTATTTCTTGAAACTTTCGTAATGAATTTGAGAGAAATTTTGTTTTCATTTTCTACATTTTTAAGAAAAATAAAGAGAAAACCATAGAAAAGATATTGAAGAAACAATACAAACTCTTGAAGAAAATATAAGAAGCGACTTTAACAATCTATGTGGAAAATATTGAGCAGAATTAGCTACTCAGAAAAAAACATTTTGAACAAATTAATGAGAAATATGTAAGAACAACTCATACTAATGGTATGAAGTAGGTGAGAAACCTACCAGCTAGTTTTGTCACCTGGAAAACATTAAGTTTACTGGTAAGCTTATAAGTAGTGTTAAGAAAGATAACGGCGATTTGATAACAGATGGTAGTTGTATTTTAATTGAACTGAAACAATTTTACAGTAATCTGTACAGAGATATTCACCCACATGAGGAAGAAAATGATATAGATGTAAGTACTATTAACATTCCAAAGATACCTAAGATAGAATTTAAGGTTTTGGAAAACGAGATAAGCTTGGAAGAAGTTAGCTGTTCTTTCCACCGAAAATGATAAAAGCACAGGCATTGATGACTACTCCATTGAATTCTTTAAGTTCTTTTGGCAAGATTTAGGCCCATGGGTTTTATGGATTAATAAAAGAAGCCTTTGAAAATAATGAATTAACTATTACAATCAAAAGGAGAATTATTACTTGTTTGCCTAAGCCAAATAGAGACAGAAAATGTCTAAAAAGCTGGCGTCTTATTTCATAACTATATACCCTTTACAAAATAATAAGCACGTGCATAACAAACAGTATTAAATCAACATTAGATACAACTGTACATGAGAATCAAAGAGGTTTTATCACTGGGAGATGATTGAGTGAAAATATAAGACTTCTCCGTGATATAGTCTTTGAAACCTGAAAGTTTAATAAACCTGACCCATTATTACTAGTTAGTTTTGAAAAACGCCTAAGGTAATATCTCCAAAACATTTATGATACAGGTAATGGATTTGATTTGGGCCCAAAGTTATCAAATGGATTCAAATTCTGACTAATAATACAGCCGCTGTGATACAAAATGGGCACATCTCCTCCTTTTTCCATCGGGAACTGGGATGTAGACAAGGAAATCCGGTCGAACCTCGTTTATTTATCCTTGCAGTTGAAATGTTAGGCACAGTGATAAGGTAAATCCTGATATAAAGGGTATCATACTTAATAATATAGAACAGAAACTTGGACAATATTCTGATGATACCCAATTATATTTAGATGGATCTGAAACAAGCCTCAATGCTGCAATTGCTGCACTGAATAAATTCTATCAAATGTCAGGACTCAAAATGAACATAAACAAGGCAAAAGCCATGACCTATATCTTGACTGGCACAGTGGTGACTTTGAAATGTTAGGAATAACACTTAATGCTTCTCTTAAAGACCATTGGGTAATTGATACAAGAAAACGCCATGAATCGCGAGTTTGGAATAAGAAACTTGATGCTAATTGGGGAAATCGCTGTTATCAAAACAATTTCTACTCTAGTTAATATTTTCTGTGCACCCGTAACCCGCCAAAAACATTCATTGATGAACTCAATAAAACATTTATAGATTCACATGGAATAATGAAAAGGATAAGAAAAAAACAAATATCAGTAAAGCGTATGAGGAAGGAGGCCTCAGAATGATTGACATTGAACTGAGCATGATATAATTTGGAATTGTGTATTCAGATATTACAGGAAATGTACACATGATTGTAAGCTGTTAGACATTCAGTACAAATTTATTTGCAGAATAATATATACAAAGAAATTAACTATTGAGGATGAAGGCAGTTGAAAAACACCTCATAAGACATACCGTATGTATTTTCTGATTGTGATATAGTTAAAAACTTTTGGCATAATATAGAACATTTTCTAAATACCCATCTCCAATATAATGTCACATTTACAAAATTCATTATCATGTTTGGAGTGTGCTCAAAGAATAAAATACTAAATTATATTATACTCCTAGCCAAAAGATTAATTCAAGCATTAAACAACATACACTTACTTTTGAGGGATTTCTGAAGTTATATATATATACAACTGCAAGATATATAGCAAGGAAAATTAATAGCTTAGATCCCTTTTTAAGGAAGTGGAAACATTATCTGCCTTGTGATGTACTGAGCATCGAAGTGCTCTTAAAGTATCAATTGATATTTCCAGTCTCCACTCACTACAATCACTACTATTAAACCTTATTCCTTCAATCGTATCTACCCTCTACAGAAAATGAAACAATATTTTATGTATATATTTCTGTTATAACCCCACAGAACCTCAGTGATGTCATATATATTGCCTTCTATGTCATATGTAATTTATCTGTGAATTGGAATAGAATTAAAAAACCCAAACAAAATCAGCATTCCTTTCAATATTTTTTCAAACTGTCGTCATTTCAATGGAAGATGGAATGTCTCCCTTTTATCCAAGAAATGACCTCTCATTTTTGGAAGTTATAAGTCAATTTAATTTTGAAAACCCTTTCCTTTGAACCCCTATTTTCAACCAGTCGGGACTATGACTATTCCAATGTTGAACTTTAGTAACACGTATCATATTTACATCGACCTTTTGCGTCTTCTCAGCATGTTCTTTGTACCAATGCTTGTTTTTATTTTCAAAAGAGTACAATTAATAGCGAAACAGGCATTCGTAATCACACTCATAATAGTAACTTCTAATAATATTTGCCTTTGCCCTCCTCTGATAGTATACACAGTCAGATAAAAAGGCCAAATTCAATACTCCATATATGTTATGAATCATGTGAAAGCAGCATGTGTTTTCTCCTTTGTTACGTCGGATACATTTTCCCCGGGGAACAGACATGGTGCATGTAAACGCATTTTCACAACTAACTCTTATAGGGATCATATCGGTTGTACCAGAAAACAAGTGATGACCATTGGCAGATTGCATTTATTCCTAACTGCTGATCACAGTTAAGTTAATGGTAATATCTCAATACACTGAATATACATTTCTCACACTACAGTATACTCTTTAAAGGTAGGGGAACATTATTTTGTAATTTACAATTGGAAACGTTGGGAGATCTATCGGTGTCAGTCAATGTTGATATGATAATAATGAATGTTTTCAGAGTGCATCGCCACTTGCACTTCCTTATGACCATAGTTACTTGTACAGTAATCGCTCTGGAAAGATGACTTGTGTATGACGTGAAATTCCATGTGTACGTTTTTCATTTTCAAACAAACAAAAGCGGCTAGAAATAAACCCCAACAACTGTGTGATGCAAGATGATTGTCAAACAAACAAAAGCGGCTAGAAATAAACCCCAACAACTGTGTGATGCAAGATGATTGTGAAAAAATAATGGTCTACATTGAATTATCGTCCTTCTTGAAAACCGTCAAAATCAAGAATGACATCCCATGCACGTGAGGTGAGGTGAAATTGGGATTATCGTCGTGCTTGAGAATATTTCGCTCATATGACGACGTGCATGCGTGTGTATGTGTATGTGCGGGTGCTTGTACTAGACTGAAGCTGGTTTTATAGTGCTAGCCCACTGAGATACCATGCCGCAGTGAAGCATGAATACCCCACTCAGACACATTATCCTGACTCCGAGCCGACAAGTCCTTGTTGTACCCATTAATGCCGAGCGCCAGGCAGGGACCAACAAGTACCATATTTTAACGTCTTTTAGTATGACGCGGTCGGGGACCTACCGCTCTCCAGGCGGACGCTCTAACCACTACACCACGGAGGCGGTTCCCATGCACGTGTATGGGGCTACTGCGTTGTGCACGCATCCTGTGCGTTGTGTTTAGGAGTGGTGATAAAGATAAATGGTGGTGCGTTCATAAAATGTCTGTCTTTGAAACGTTTGTTAACGCTACTTCCTACACACATAAAAAGTTCAGGTTCCCCTACTTTTTATAATGATTATATAACAGCAAATATCAATTAGCCAAGTCAACAAAAATATGTGATGTTCTCAATACACATGCCTATGAAGCTGGTGTTTCATGTTGAGGAAAACACAAGGTGAAGGTGAACTGAAATAGAATGTTATACGTATCCACTGAATATAGAATTAAAAACATCTGAAGAAAAAACAAATAAAGATAATATACTTGGGCTGTTCGATAGTTGATGTATTTCCCTTGTCAGACCGAGTCATTCTGCAGTACTTCCATTGGTTGGAACACACCAGAGTCAGCTTCTGCAGGCTGTGATCTATCCCAGTAATCATTGGGTTCGAAAGATTTCTTCAGTTTCTGCAATGTTTTAATGTGATAAAAACATGTTGATATTAATCAAACAGATCGTGTGATACGTTACAAACACAGGATCCCTCAGGAAGGTACATATGATGGGAAAGTTATTTTCATGCTTCGTGTCATGACATGTTCATGTGACAGGTGCCCCAAACACTCCAGCAGCTGGGTCCAGTAAGTTTCTTGTGGTTAGATATTTAGCATAATATGGTATTATTCACAAAGAGGAAACATCTGGTACTTTAAGGATTCTTTCTGAAAAGAAAGGTAAATATTTTGAGTGTTTTTCTTGTGACCTGCAAGTCCCACCATTGTCGTAATGTTAGCATACTGTCACAGTCCAACTGCTCCAGGTAAAACAAAAGTACAAGCCAGAACAGATACCAAGCAGATTAAGATAACTTCAGTCTTTTAGTTGTGTTTACCTCTTTCAATGTTGCCCCTGGAGTGTTGTAAACGGTCCAGATGAAAACAATCGGAAACGGCAGGAGTGATGAAAACGATATGAGCCACCCAAGAGCTGTTGCCCAGGTAGGGTAGATGTAGTCCCCGTACTTCGGGGGTCGGTAGGAGTAGAAGGAGTAGCAGCAGATCACCTAGTATAACAGTTGAAACATAATACACACTCATGATTTTCACCTCGGACTACAAAACTGATGATCATGTGATGATCTCCATATATTTCGCTTTCGTTCAACTTTATCATAAACTATTCGCGCAAGTATCGCTGGGAAACCATGTAAATCTTTATCATGCACAAGTGAAGCACTGTTTAGAACTGGTTCCCAGCAGCGATATATATGTCAAAGTGGCATAAAATAGACCACATGTCATCCATCATGAACTGACGGAGTGATTCATCGTTCATAACATGCCAGTCACTAATTTGTCTGAATTCTCCTATAATCTGTCGTCATAGAGCTGAAATAAGACATATACCCATATGGATAGGGAGAAGGACAATATGACCAAACAGTTCGCCAATATTTCATATTGTCACCAGATTTTTTGGTTAGTTTTCCACAAATGTTCGGTTAAGGCTCTATTTTTGGAAACATTTGGCTTGTCCCTGGTTCAAACTAAACAATCCACATGATACTGCTGTAATATTGTTGACTGCAGCTTTTTACGCCATTCAAATTTCAGTTTAGTCGAGCAGGGGTATAGCTGTCATGGTTAATATAAAGAGATTCAGCTACAAAAGAGTTTTGTAGGATGCGCAACAATTTCTCAGGTGTGTGGTAGTATAAAACCTTTTCCAGTCAGGAATTACTTACAAATAGAAACAAAGTGCACACAAACTTGAAACTTATGACCATGACCCGAGGTATCGTCTTTCCCCACATCGAACGGATGTCCTCCTGAAGCCTCTTTGTTCCTGCAAGGGAAAATCATCATGAGAAACTTTTCACATATATTACAGCAATCATGCCTCTTTTGCAAAACCAATAAAGGGAATGGAATGAACACAATAAAAGAGTATTGATAGATCTTGGAACTTTTCATGTTCAGCTTTGCAAAAATACGTTCCTGAAAGGACTGAAGAACACAAATGAAGGGTTATGAGAAAACATGTGAACCACAGGCCCTCGTGTCTTTGCAATGATAAAAGAATAAATCGATTAAAACTTAATGGAAACATAATCATGGCATCTATGTATGGCCGTCTATTTCCCGATACCAGTGGCTTTCCGCTCGGTAGCGTGATACAACAGTGGGAAATACCTCCGTCTTCGAAGCTTCGTATGAAAAACATGTGAGGCGATTCGTTTTATGGGGATATCGTTTGAAAGCTCTGAACATGATCAATATCACTGTACCCTTGCCAAGAATATTTTCACAGTTGTAAGAAGCGATTCTATTGGATAAAGACTGGTTTCTAATGACGCAATTCTGTCACAGTCTGCTAAAAGGATCGTGATTGGTCAAAATCACACATATGACCTAAGGCAGCCAATCATACTTACCGACCTACGGTGTCTAGGGACTCGTGACGTCTTGGCCAGTTTTCCGGCCTACGATGTTGAATGGGTTAAGCAGAAAATTGTACTAGCCCGGCGGACCAGTACTGTTAGATGTTTTGGTAGTCCTCCGGGAGATTTACTAGCCTCGGGCTAACGGACTAGCATAGATTTCGAACCCCGTGGATGATTGGCCTAGCATGACACCTACCACTCCTTTATTGTTTTTTGTGCAAGTCGATTGAAAACTGGTTTTGACTCTCAACTAAACACAAATGGATACCGATATATCCGCACAAAACTGGGGTGTGGTCGAAACAAACCCTCTGATTGGTCAACGCTTGTAAATCTGCACATTCTTTATAAATTCGCGGGAATTTTTACTTTCATCGACTGCTTGATTGGAAATGTAAGATTTTTTCCCCCAGCAATGGCACACACCTTTAGTCCGGATATATCGGCAAAGCAGGCGGCTGTGGGTGCACCGAAGTGTCCGGCCTTGTCATGATGTATTGTACTGTGAAGCATTTTGAATCGGGGGTCATCTCAAATTTGTATATATATATATATTTTAAAATCTTTAATCCTCGCAAAGACACGAAGGCCTGTGGGACTTCCTCGTTGATAACATCTGCTTAAGATGCGGGGGTAAAACATTTAGACAAGAAGTAGGCAACAAGGAAGTTTAGTCAAGACGTTCCCATTTACCTTCAGGCATATCGATGATCTAATATTCTTCCATGAACATCCAGGAACTACATGGTGAAAGTGAGAGTCTTACATGTATTTCATATTTAGATGTGTGAGTTCAGTGTGACATAAACCTTTCCACAAAGCTGTATGATAAAAGGGATGATGTCATCTTTCCGATAGTCAACCTTTTCTTTACATTGAGCAATATTCCAACAGCTCCAGATTTTGATGGTTACATTTCGCGATCGAGCAAGCTCTTTTTATCAAGATTTCAAATGGTGCCGACT